GAGATTGAGATGTTTGTAATATGCCATTCAGAAAACTGGCATCAATTTATATTTTCACTACTATATGTAAGACAACACGAAAGGTTTATATTTAGAGGCCTGATCTATATAGATTTGTGTTTTAGAAAGATTATTCTGGTGGGAGTCTGGAGACCAGTTAGTTGTTAGTCCATGAGCTCTTTGAATTGGGAATCTCATCTTTATTTTCTCTGCCTTCGTATCCCTAATACCTGGCAGGCAGAGTGCTTGGCACATAGTAGATACTCAGTAAATAATGTTAAAAAGAATGAATGCCTATAGGTGAGAGATGAGAAGGTCTAGATAGAGATGGATAAGATTCTGGGAAAGTTTCCAAGGTAGATTCAACAGAGCTTGGATGTAAGATGGAAGAGATTTTCTCTCCCTTTCTTGACCTTTCTGTTGAAGAGCTTTTTAACAGCTTCATGCTGCCAGCAAGTCTACATATAGCTCTCTTTTATTATTATCCCTCTGCATTCTAAATATTGTGAGGTAGATATTATTGTACACATTTTATAAATGAGAAAGCTAAGACTTAAAAGTTTAAATATCTCTCTGTGGGTCACAGCTAATCATTGATGGGGCCAACGTACAAAACTGTTTTTCCTGGCTGCAAAGATTGAACTTTTAATAATGATACCATTTCCCCACATTTTCAGCCATGTAAGTAACTTTTGTCTCTTGTGTTTTCCTCTTCTCTAATTTCAGACTCTTTTATGGAGCATGCAGCTATTGACTAATAAATCTAGTGACTTAAAACTAAAGGAGGCTGAGTAGGATTGAACCTTCACTGTTTCTCTGGAAAAGGGTTCTAGAAGGGATGTGGAAGGGGGCAGAGGAGGCTCTCCTCCGACTGTTTGTGAAAATACTATCGCCTGTGTCTCTGTACTGAGGCCTTGTTACCTTGTTAGTAGCTCCAGAGCATCAGATCTTAGTCTTGTATTCCTCAGCAGCAAAGAGGCTTTGAGTACTCTCGAGCGGGATGCAGAGACATTCCACAGTTGTGATAGTGGCTTAGATGATTTGGAATCACCTTCTCTAGACTGACAGCCAGGAGGCAAATGGTGTAACACTCCACAGCTAATTTTTTTTTCGTTCTTAAAAAAATTTTTTTTTTAAATTTTCAATTATAGTTGACATTCAATATTATATTAGTGTCGGGTGTACAGCATAGTGATTAGACATGTCTATAACTTACAAAGTGATCCCTCTGATTGGTCTAGTACCCACCCGACGTCATATATAATTATTACAGTATTATTGACTATATTCCCTATGCTCCACAGCTTACTTTTAATTAGTTTTCTTAGCTTCCGATTTTGTTAGCAAACAACCATATTTTAACTATCTTATCATGAGTTCTAGAATCTAAAGCAAAGGGAAAATGATAAAGAAACGTGAGATATTAACTTTTGGTCTCATTTTTAAACCTATATAACTTAGATCTTATCTGAGTTCCTTTATGAAAAGTATAACCCAGAATAGACAGACAGCCCCCTATGAAACCTCATTCGCATCCGTTTAGGTTTTTCTTTTTGTGTTTATGTAACTTCCTGCCACAGAAAGAAGTATGTGAATCATTTGTGTGTTTCTTAGCTATATGGCAGACCTACTGTGCAGATTTGTCTAAGAATTCGAAGGGACTGAAAGTCTTTATAGAAGATAATCTGAGTTTATCAGGATAATAAGGTATTGGGACAAAATTTTAGGCAGAGAACACCACCTGGTGGTTATAAGGAGGATTTGAGCTTCTGTAATTATAGTATTTGCTATAGTATCTAAGTGATATCTTTAAAAGTTACATTTTAATTTATAATAATTGTGGATTCAAGTTTCTAGGACTAATCTGCCATATGATTCTAACTTTCTTTCATTAAAATTGCTGTCAAAACCTGCAGACTAACAAAATAATTATCCGTGTCCAACAGAAGTGAAGTCTTATGCCCTTGGTTGTTCCAAACACAGGTCCTGTATCTCTTTAGAAAATCAGTCTGTGTCTTTTCACCTCTCCACTGCAACCTCTAACTTCTATATCATGTTTATTTTATGTGGTAAATTTTTGCCTAGTGGAATAATGGAGAAGGAAATAGTAGTGATTTTTCAGTAAGTCTTTGGAAAATGTCATATAAAAGTAAGTCACTTTTTTCCTGTATAAAAATTATGAAGAAGAATTTTATAATTTTCCAGAGTGATTATTAGAGTGAGCAAAGTTGGTATGGGATGGTAGATTACGTAATGGTTTTTTATTAAAATACATACCTGAGATTTCTTTTTTATTTCAATAAGCATCTTTTTATTTTTTGACAAACTTGAATCTAGATGATTCTGTAGCTGCACAAAATATGGACATCAGCCCAAGAGGAAAGGATCCTATTAAGTTAATCTGGATGCATATTTTATAGGCCTGATAGGAAGGGGAGGATAAACAAAGCTTTAGATTTTAGGTTGATCCTTAGGCTGACATGGCATATCTGTATCTTTTTTCCTAGTAGGAAAAGTGAATCCAGGTCCCACCACCATTGAAAAGTTTCTTAAGGGAGGGCTATTCGTGTCAGATACTAAATAAAATGTGACATAACTTTTGCACTGTTCTCCTGAGATTTTTCTTTATATAAGTAACAGTATTATAGTATTTCAACATTTATTATTGGACACTGTAAAAAGCTGCTCCATACACAAATGCACATAGATTGTATAATTCCATTTATATGAAATGTCCAGAATTGGAAAATATATAGAGACAGAAATTAGATTCATGGTTGCCAGAGGCTAGAGTAGGGGTGAGAGGAGTTGGGAGGAAATGGGGAAGTGTCTGCTAATGGGTTTGAGATTTTTCTTTGGGATGATAAAAATGTTCTGGAATTAGATGGTGGTGATGATTGCACAGCTGTGTGAATATACTAAAACCACTGATTTGTACACTTAAAAAAATTAAAATTGAACAAACAAGCTGATCCATGGAGGAATAAACAAAACCAATAAAAAGGTGATTGTGGTAACAATTCTCTCACTATGTTCTAGCAGAAATGTTTGATAATGTAAATATTACAGAATGGGTCTTTTATTGCAATATTTAAATAGTGCAGCATAGGCCTAGTGTTGTTTTAATCTGTACTGTATTTTCCTGTTCCTGACCTTCACAGGGCCACGATGGGCCTCCTGGAACATTGGCGTGTTCATCTGCATTCGATGCGCTGGAATCCACAGGAATCTGGGGGTACACATATCCAGGGTAAAATCAGTTAACCTCGACCAGTGGACTCAAGAACAGATTCAGGTACTTACACAGCCCAGGAATGAGTCAGCATCTCCCATATCTCTGTGTTAAAGTAATTCCAGATGAATTTCAAACTGGGCACAAAGGTGAAGATAAGGGAAAATATAGTTGTCAAACACTTGTGTCAAATTCTCATACGTTAATAGGGAAGTTTTTAATTTTTCTCTTTAATATACAAATTAGTCTACCTATATTTTATGTATGTTAAAACACAAATAGTCTATGGTCTAGGGCCTCATGGATCCAGGAAGGTGTAAAGAATAGGTTTTTGGATTATCTTCCAAATAATATCTAAAACTACAAATGTTAGATCTACAAGACCTTTGTAGATCTAACATTTGTAGTTTTAGATATTCTCTAAAAACAAAAAAGCCCCTCTAACTTATATACTTATAATATTTTTTTGCTAAAATGCAAATGTGAATCTTGCTTGCTGTTAGGTTGGTGGGCTAGGAGTGAAACACTTAAGTTAGTGAGTCCAGCTGGCCTAAGATTTGCATCTCCATGTGGATTCATTGTTCTCTACTCTCTTACTATGTTGAAACTTTTTAAAGTAATTTAAAAAATTGGGGGGGTGGGGGGCGGGGCAGTGCAGGGAGTGGCTCCAAAGAAAACCAGTTGCTAAAGTCATTGGTAGAAATAAGAGGTTAAGAGGTTATTCTTAACCAGGACATGGCTTCATAAATACTTTAGATTGTTTTTATAGATTCATGTTATATTTTTCAGTTGCACTTTGTTGTATCTTATGAAGGAAATTATATCCATGGAGGTATTTGAGAATTTGAAGATTTAAAAAGACTTGGAATTTATCCCTCAAGTATTAGAGTCTGTTTCAAAAGCCCAGTGTGAAGCACATTTATTGGCAATAAAGCTGAATAGGTTAATTAATAGTATTAACTCTGAAAGTAGTTATTGCCTGCGTATTGCCTGCCCGATTAGGCACTGATTATTACCTGCCAAGTAGACATTTTGATTGGTAGCTGTGTCTTGGACTTTCAAATGAGATCTTGAACTATCACTGAATTAAATATATCTTGTCAGACAGATCTTTCAATAAAAGGAACTCTTGGGAGGAGTAGGAAATACATCTAAGGGGAAATATTTAGGAGTAAAGAGAATCATGGATTGGAAATCAGGATACACAAGTTTAAATCTTGGTTCTGCCTTTCTCTAGGTTGGTTCTTAAATTGTAAAATGCTGCCATTGGGTGGGAAGTTTTTCAGTTCTTTCTTATTCTGACATTCCATGTTTCCACGTCTCTTTTTTTATTGCAGTGCATGCAAGAGATGGGGAATGGAAAGGCAAACCGACTTTATGAAGCCTACCTTCCGGAGACCTTTCGGCGACCTCAAATAGACCTGTATCTTTTCTGGAGCAACTTAGAAGGCTGAGTGGTATTTTGGTGTTTTGGAAGAGTCACATAAGACCCAGGACCCATGATCTGGCAAAAGTCAGATCTAATCTATCTAGATTGGTCAAAGTCTTACATTTCCTCTCACCTGCAACAAAGACATACAAAAGCATATGTGTGCTTTCTATATCAGAATGGTGGTGTCACATGGGGAAGGTTCATTTAGGAATAAAGACTGCAATGATTCACTGTGAATTCTTCCCATAAAGTGACTTCTTCAGTAGATTTTGGATCTCTGAAACTTGTTTGATTAAGTTTACTGTATTGTGTCAAATCAGCAAAACTGCCATTTATTTTTAATGTCTTTTTATATACTGTGTGAAAGAATTAACTGTTGTTAACCAGTTAATAACTCCACCTCGCCCCCCCCCGCCGCCATTCCCACAACTTGGAAAAGCACCCAGCTCATAAAACCAAACCCCCTAAAGGCAGTGTTCCTCAAAAGTAGTTTGTCAGCCATCTCATTAGAGTTTGCTTTTTGGTTGGTGAAGGTAGAACATGTTAAAATACAGATTTGGGGCCCTGCAGAAGACCCACGAATTAAAATCTAATAGTGGGGTGCAAGAGTTTATAGTTAGGAGAGGCACTCAGTTGCCTTTGTTTAAGGCCTGTTGACTTAAGATCTTTAAAATAGGTAATTGCTGCTTTACCTGTATTCTAGAACAGCCAGCCACAGGCTCCTCTGATGTCAGTGTGAAGCTTAATCCCATTTGTTGCTCTCATCACTCTGAAGGAAAATCAGAGGAAACAGGATTCCCTGAAGTAACTGTGAAGAAGGCATTTTAAGGTTTTGGTCAGGGAACTTACATATGAAGAGACAGGAGCCATATGGGGAAACCAGGCAGCGGGGAGAGAGTGATCTTTTATAGTCATACCGTGGGAAAGATTTGTTTGATTTGTCCTTAAAGGCTTTTTGCAGAGCTGTTGAGGGATTTATTCGAGATAAATATGAGAAGAAGAAATATATGGACCGAAGTCTGGACATCAATGCCTTTAGGGTTGGTGGTAAATCTTTCAAGTTTTCGCATATAATGTAATTTGCTTATTAATCAGGCCAGGGAAGAATTTGAAGCATAGCTACCAACATGCTCAAAAGCTATCATTTACAAAATACAGAAGTAGAAAAAAGCCAATTTTTTGAATCAAGGCCCTGAGGTATCATGGAGAGCAAACTTTGGCCTTAGGGGCCGGCAGTGAATTCTTCACCTTTATCTGTATTTGGGTATAAGTGATTCCTAGTTTGAAATTATTTCCTCAAATGGACATCTTGGGCATATGAGATCAAATAGAATAATAAGTGTGTACATATATGCACACACATTTATACATACATGAATTTTTTTATTCTGTAAATGAGGTCAACAAAATCAGCTGTAATTAAATCACCAGTTTCCTTCAGTTTGACCAGCGTATATTTCCTCTGTGTCGATGGTTAGATCGCCAGTGGCACCCTTGTTTCAGAGAAGGGTTTTAGAAGGAGACTACCAGTTGCCAAGTACGCTTTCCATCCTAGACATGAGGTTAGAATCTGAAATATAGATCGCCAGTGGCACCCTTGTTTCACAGAAGGGTTTTAGTTGCCAAGTATGCTTTCCATCCTAGACATGAGGTTAGAATCTGAAATACAATGTATGATAACTAGGACAAGTATAACATACAAGAGGAAATAGAGCGTGGTTTCTGGAAGAAGGATATAAGCCTGACTACTGACAACTAAAGGAAAACCAATAAATATTACTATTAGGCCTTTAAAAAGGCTTTGACAAGATTGTACAGTAAATTCTCTTAGGAATCATCAACCATTTCTTGAGTCTCAGAAATAGAGAGAGTATGGGATTCTCCAGTTCCAGCCAGAGGTTCTGTCTGTCTGTCTGCCTGCCTGCCTGTCTTTCTGTCTCACTCTCTCTGTCTATCATCTAGCTAGTTATTTATTTTAATGGAGTCTGTACTAGCCAGTGAAATCACCAAGGCTCTAAACCTTTCCATATAATTTAATGTCAAGCTGATTAGAATCATCTCCAAATCGATCTTTGGAGGTTGTGCGAAACAACATTAACTGGTAGGTGAATTTCAGTGCAGGAAAGTCAGTGCAAAATAATATGTGTAATTAGGTAAAGATAATTGCTTAGTATGAAGAACTCTTACCTCATAGTCATACAGAAAAGGGACCTATAAGTTATCATAACTGTTCTAAGAAGGATTAACCCAGTGTATAGCTGTGGCTTGGAAGGCATCATCAAAAAGAGTTTGAAACAAAATATATATACTTCTTTTCATTTGTAGAAAACTATAAATGGTCGGTCTGCCTAGCCCTCTTCATTGTACCTGAAGATATGAAATTATATGAGATAAGAAAAGGGTAACTGAGGTAATCTTGAAGATGAGGGAGGAAGGAAGAGTTGCTGTGTGAAGATAATGTTTGTTCATAGTTATCTTGCTGGTGTACCATACCCCTGAAAACAGCCTGTTTTACTCATGGGTGTTTTCATTTAGGAAGGAAATCCTCCTGTTTACCAAAAAGCTATTTCAAATTTTATTTCATGTGCTTAGGTTTTTGAAAATATTCTTGTGAATATTTATATGCCAAGAATTAATATTTTCTAAGTGAAGACATTTAATGTCAAATTGAAAAGAAACTAGTTTTGTTAATTAAAGAGTATTGTTTAATGGACAGATAAAACATTTTTAACTTCAAGAAATAGTGTTTCATATTAATGTGTTACACTATGTATGAAACAGACATAACTGCATGTGTTTGTGGTTATAATATTTTACAGAAAATATGAAAAAGTGGAAAATCCATGTCAACTCTTAGTAATGATTGTCATCTTGATATGTTCCCTCTTTTTCTCTATAATTACTTTTTGGAGGCACAGTGATAATACAGTTATACAGAATGTCTTTTACTTTCATTCAACTTACTATATATCATGTATTTTTATGTTACTTATATAGTTTTCATAATTTAATTATTGCCTCATTCGATAAGTAGCTTTTATTTTACCATTTTCCTTCTGTGGCATACAGGTTGGAATTTAAATTTTCTTTTTTTTAATTTTTATTTTTCAATTAGAGTTGACATTCACTATAATTTTTATATTAGTTTCAGGTAAGTTTTTCTTCAGCATAGATAATTCTGCAGTGAATTTCTTGGTGCATATAACCTTTTCTATATTTTGGATTATTAAGATATATTACAATATTATCTAGGTCGAAGGGTTTCAGTATTTGTCTTTCATACTTTTGCCAACATATTTTCCAGAATTGTACAGTTATTTTATACTGTTTTCTCAGTGTTGTATAAGAGTACTAGTTTTACTTTATCTATACTGACATTAGGTATTATTAAGATCTTCCCAAAAAATGCATTTTAATTTACACTTTTTGATCATTAGCAAGGCTAATACTTCCTTTAATATGCTTGTGTTCTTGAATTTTCTTTGTGGCTCTGTTTTATACTTAGATGTTCATTTGATGTTAAAATGTGACCAATAACATTATAATCTGTGAAAGTATTATGAAACTGCCCCTGAAAGTAACAGAAACTGTGAGAGACTTTATAATATTTTATTTGGTGTGCTTTTTGGTTTTTATACTGGCAAATCATTCAGGATACCCTAAAAGGGATACTTTAATCTGTTTACTCTTTTTTTTTTTTTGCTTTATTTCCATGATTTTTGTTTTTTTAATCTTTAAGCTTGAAGTTAGTTTATTTTCTTATTTTTTTTTTAAAAGAGATGAGGCTTGATAAAACTTAAAATTGAATTTATAAAGTCACAAAGGCTGTATGCCGAGTTAGATGAACATGAATTTATTCACTAGTGTACCAGGATGAGGGGGAACCCCTCAAAGTGTGAGCAAGTTAAACTTGAGTAAAAAAGGGGTAGCTAACTGGTGAAATGTTTTATCCTCTCTAGGATAAAACTTAACTGCACATTTCAAGAGTCATAAGACAGAATGAGGAGAGCAGGCACCTAAGATATTTGAAGGATGCTTCATAGAGCATTGAGACTAATGTGGACGAGACCAGCTCTCATGCCTGACACCTAGAAACCCCCTAAGCTAGTGAGACTCCTGCTTCAGATTCAATAGGGACTTTTTGTTTCATTTTTGGACATTTGGAATGGTAATTTATCAAACTACTAGTCACCATTGGGCCTGTGTTCTTTATCTTGTTTGTAAAATCATTATAGAAAGAAAAAGACGACAAGTGGAAAAGAGGGAGTGAACCAGCACCTGAGAAAAAAATGGAACCTGTTGTTTTTGAGAAAGTGAAAATGGTAAGTGGGAAAGTATTTGCACTGTGTGGATGGCTTTATGTGTGTGTTTATGCGTGTGGTGGGGTGAGGTAGGGTTGATAACATTTTGCCTCTGGGGCTAAAGGTTTCTACATTTAGGTTAGATTGCCAGCTGCCATTTCTGCTTCTTTCCCATTGCTTATTTTTGCCTAATCTGCTCTGTAACACTTCTTTTTGGGGCCAGATGGAAGTTTGGGAACTGCATCTGTCCCATTTAAGCAAGAGGCAGGTTCCATGCCAGAATGCCAAGGCTGTGTGATACCTTTTGAGCAGATGCTACTTCCACATAAATCTTTCTCTTGTGAGACCTTCTGTACCTCATTTCCTGTTGCAGTTAAGAACAGTCTAAAAGCCAGGGCACATTAATTCATTTTAAACAATTGCTTCTTGTATTCTTGCTCTGTCGCAATGAAGTAGACACCTTTCTTTTTCCACAGGACATATTGTGGCTATAGTAGTAGATACTCTAATATACAAGCTTGGAATCTTGGGAGAGGGGACTTTTTACTATTTGCTTAATGAACAGTCTTTTATCATCATTCTGAATTGCGCTGTGTGCGGGACACAGTCATTAGTGATATTGGCAGAGTAAATCAGGTAATCTTTAAATTGATCTCCCTTTTAATATTAAAGGTTTCCTAATTGCTAGGAGATTTGTTGGCTCTCAGCTCTTGTACCATCAGACATCTGCCTTTATTCTTGATTTTTCCTGGGACCCAAAATTGCTACTTCTGTTGAATCCCCTGATCTGTGGTTGTATTGGCTTCAGAAAAATCTCTCTCTTCAGAAAGCCAAACAAGCACAGATATCTTTGTTTTTCCCTTTAGTATTGATTTATGTACTCATGCCTCCTGACTTGAATCTTTCACCCGACACTTCCTGAGTTTTGTTTTCTTTGGTAGCTCTCTTTGAATAACAGCAACCATACTACAAGAATACCTGTGGCTTTACTGTGAAGAGGGTTAAAAAAGGATTCAAAACACCTGCTTATTTCTTTCTGTAACATATTTTCACCTTAGCCACAGAAAAAAGAAGATCCACAACTACCTCGGAAAAGCTCCCCGAAATCTACAGCACCTGTCATGGATTTGTTGGGCCTTGGTAAGAGTTAGACTTTTCCACTCCCATAATCTTAAATTTTAATGAATTCTCTCTGATTCTGGGAAGATAGGTAGAGATAAGAGTCTTCAGTTTGTATCTTTGTCACTAAGATTGTTTGCTCATGTTCTCATTGTTTTACATCTGAGCAGTTGTGCTAAGAAGTGTTTACTGTGACATTTTCAGAATGATAGTACAGTGTAGTGGTTAAGAGCATGGCCTTGAGAGCCAGAGTCCCAAATCTGCTACTTACTGTTATGTGACCTTGGGCAATTCACTTAACCTGTGAACATTACTTTCCTGTCTACGCAGTGAGGATGATCAGAGTCTCTACTTCAAAGGTGTTGTTGGAAGGATGAAATGAGATGCTGCTAAAGCTCTTAGCCCCTTGCCTGGCACATAGTAAGCACTCAGTAAACGTTAGCATTTTTCATTAAACCACCACCTGTGAGCCCATCCCCATCTCTCTCATTTTTCAGGTACGACCTGTTTCTGAGATGGCTCATTACCTTGTGGTCATTTATCTTCAAACCTTTGAAACCCTGAACTAGTTATTCTGCCCCTTTCAGAAGTAGAGCTTATTCTTTACCTTTTACATACTGATGGTTGTACTTCATTTCAGTCCTTTTCTGCTGATTTAGGTTATTAGCGACTTCTAATTGGCTTCTAATTTCTATACTTTACATTTCTCTCTGAAAATGAATCCTATACAACTTTGTCCCTCAAATAGCCAGAAGGGAGCCAGCCAGCCCTCTGGCTGTGGTGCTGATGCAGCCTTCGGGCCTGGGTTTCTGCTGCCCTGTGACTTATAGCTGGGCTACAGGCTTCTCCAGTGTGCTCTTGGGAATGAAGCCTCTTTTGAGATGCCCCATCCAAGTTAGATGGTTCTAGAAGCGTGGATTTCCATGATGGAACATATGGGGCTTCTCTGTCAGCTTTGTGTCTAGAATAGAAGGAAGGCATGGTCTTAATGAGCAGGGCTACATTTTAACTTTGATCTCTCTTTCCAGATGCTCCTGTGGCCTGCTCCATTACAAACAGTAAGACCAGCAATACCCTAGAGAAGGATTTAGAACTTTTGGCCTCTGTTACATCCCCCTCTTCTTCAGTTTCTAGAAAGGTGAGTCTTGTGGGCTCCTTAGGATTAAAGAGTATCCTGAAAAGAGCGATTTTGATAACGTAACCATGGAACCATGTCATGCTTCTTCAGTGGAACTGGACTTTGGTTTTCTTAATTCTTGATTCTTCCCTTAATACTGGGTCATCCTAAGATTACTATTCATTCCATTTTGTCTCCTGCCCAGAAAGAGTGGACCCTTTGAGTGGGCTTCTAGCAAAGATGTGTCAGATTGTAAAGGCTGATGCTTTAGGTTAACTCTTCAGCCTGAGTTATTGCCAGAGAATTTGTAGGTATGAGAGACTTGAAACATTTGATGGCTACCATTTGTGGAATACCTGCTGTGGACCAGGCACAACGTTTGTATGTAATTTTGTAGTTTCATTTATAATTTAAAATCATCACCACAGCCCTACAAAATGGATATTTTATAGATGAGGAAACATTAGTTCAGAAAAGTTATGTAATTAGGCTTTCGATATACAACTAGTAAATGTCTGCACTGGAATCTAAAGTCAGTTCTTTCTGGCTGCATCATTTATTTGTTTTGTTTTGTTATTACGAAGTCACATTGTTTTGCTAAAAAAACAAAGAGTTGTACCAGAACCTGACTATCAGATGTTTTCAGATATTTGTATGGTAAAAACGTCAGGAAGTTATTAACTGAGCCATGAATTCTTATTAGAAATGTTAGGAGCAGCAGAGAGATGAGGGAGGTCCTTACAGAGACCCCCATGAGGACAGTTTCAACTCTCCTCTTGCCCTCTTTGCCCTAAGGTTGTAGGTTCCATGCCAACCGCAGGGAGTGCTGGCTCTGTTCCTGAAAACCTGAACCTGTTTCCAGAGCCAGGGAGCAAATCAGAAGAAACAGGCAAGAAGCAGCTCTCTAAAGACTCCATCCTTTCACTGTATGGATCCCAGACACCGCAGATGCCCGCCCAAGGTAAATTTCATGGGGGTCATGGCAATATACCAGATAAAGACATTAGGACTTCCATGCAGGAATTATTTGTTGTGACGAGGCAGTTGTTTTGGGGACTAGGACATCATACTCCAAATAAGCCTGAACAAAATTGATGCTTCTTGTGAAGCCACAAAGTATCAGCAGATACGTCCGTGGGGTCTGGTGTCACACCTGTGTGAAGTCTGACTTAACGTCTGGATCTAGACCTTAGAGGGGAAGTGGTTAGGTTAGTAACTCACTGGTAAGTCATAGCAAACCTTGTAGGGAATCTGTCTAACTAACTGTTTTGCTGTATGAAAGAGCATTCTGAATTGAGTAGTCCTGAGAAATTCAGGCTAGAAAGGAGTAGCCAGTGAGACTTTGGACTGACTTTGTGTGCTTTCCTTCTAACAGATCTGTGTGTGTGTTTTCTTGGTAGCGATGTTCATGGCTCCTGCTCAGATGGCATATCCCACAGCCTACCCCAGTTTCCCTGGAGTTGCGCCTCCAAACAGCATAATGGGGAGCATGATGCCCCCTCCAGTAGGCATGGTAGCTCAGCCAGGAGCTTCTGGGATGGTTGCACCCATGGCCATGCCTGCAGGCTATATGGGTGGCATGCAGGCATCAGTGATGGGTGTGCCAAATGGAATGATGACTACCCATCAGGCTGGCTACATGGCAGGCATGGCAGCTATGCCCCAGACTATGTACGGGGTGCAGCCAGCTCAGCAGCTGCAATGGAATCTTACTCAGGTAAGCTGCCCTATTGAACTCGGGACAACAGTTTTGAGACTGCCTCAAGGCTGTCTCAGTTTGTGTCTCTCCTTTATTCTTTGAATCCTAATAGTGGATGGGACAATGCAAGAGACATTCTTAGGTTTGCTTTTTTTTTCCCTAGGTCATTCTAAAGTCAGACTTTCCGAGGAGTTCTGGGTTCTTGTAGAATAAGAGTAACTGCCTAAACCTAAATTTCTCCACACCTTCATCAAAACAAAAACAACCTATACAGTTAAATAAGGAGCACAAATAAAACCACCCATAACCCATGACTACCACATCTAGTAGATAGAATAATACAGACTTTAAATTACATGGCAGTAGATGTATAAACACCTAAATCCAGCAGAGCCAACATCACAGAGGAGACTATGTGAAAAGAGGAGAGGAAGCAGTGACAGAACATAGATAAAATCACCCCCCAGAAAGAGAAAGTCCTACCCTGATCGGAGACATGCTGAGAATACGTCTGAGATCTGGAAGATTAAAACTCTGGTTACTTCTAAAGTCAAAAATAAGGGATTGAAATATATAGGATTATAGATGGTAGCCTTGGAAAAGCTTGCTTCCAGGGGAGATGAGGATGACTTATAAGGAGAATGTGCTCTTTGGAGACCTGGTGGCTAAGGGAAAGTAAGAAATGAAAAGTGGAAAAGAGAATCACAAAATCAGAAATATACCATCCTTCTCCCCTTCAATAGTCATTTCACTATACTAACAGAAGAGGGTGCCCTTGAACTAAGAAATCTAGTAAACCTCTCCAAACCCTCACCCCTGTCTGTATCATTGCTGATTCAGAAAGAGTAAGACACTATAAAATAAACAGTGGCAGATGACATTCATACAAAACTACTATGAGAAGAAAATAGAAAATGAAAATCAAAATGTTTCAGGAAATGAAAATTTCCCTTCCCAGAAAAACAATCATGAAGCAGAAGAAAATGTATGTAGTCCACCCACCTGAATTAAATGTCCTGTAACAAATACTTGCAGATAAAACAGCTCGAATCAGAAATTCAAAAACTTAGAATGAAAATGGACAAAAAACCCCAAAAAACTGGAAGTTATTAATGTTTACTGAACTCAGAAATAAATACTGAATTATAAGTTAGCCAGGAGAGAATAGAATCAACTGAAAATATATTTGGCATTGAGGAAAGGCATGAAAGAGCTAAGAAAATGGAAACTAAATATAGAAAGCTGTAAAAAGAATCAGAGAGAAACTAGTATGGAAATTAGACCAACAAGGCCTAACAAATGTGTTTGGAGATTCCCAAAGAAGAAAAACAAAATGGTGGAACAGAATTAATATATTTAAAACTGTAATACAAGAATACTTTCTAGAAATAAAAGACTTAAATATATTGAAGGAGCCCACTGTGTGTCTGGAAAAACTGACCCAGAATGGTCAACTCTAACACATATCACAGTAAACTTTTAGACTTTATAGACAAGAAAAATTTTCAGGACCCCAGGCCTCTTACGTCCCACCCCTCAAAAATTAGTCATTTACAAAAAAAAAAAAACACCCAGGTTGATAGCAGACTTCGTAGTAGCAACTTACGAAAAGATAGCAATGTGAATAGTATTTTCAAAACACTCAGTACGTGTAGGACAAGTATTTTATAGACAACTAATCTATCCTTCAGATGTCAGGCTATTTTAACCTATTTCCCTTTTGCCCCCAAAATACATGCTGGTTGTTCTTGTGGCTGCAGCGTTTATCCCAAGATTAAACTCACAGATTATAGTCCTAACCTTATCCCCAAAATTTGCCACAAAATAGCTCACTTTTATTATTATTTTTGCATTGCTCTAGTATATCAATAGTCTTTAGAAACAAATGACAGTATTCTATTTATAGCATTCTGTTTTTAGTAGTGGTATTGTCATTTACAAAATATAGTAATTCTGGATTGTTGAAAATGTCAAATCCTAGAAAATGTAGCATTCCTAAGTGTGCTGTTAACATTGTTCTCGAACAGTTAGCTGCAGATTCGTTTGATGAATCCGATTTATGTATACATTTCTGTTATGTGAGTATTAGAGACAAGTTCTGTTTAGAAATAATTCCAAGAACAGTTTTTATATTTTATTTTCACATTGAAAACTAGTCAGATTTGCTTCAGCCTCAAAGAGTGTGTTGATTTAAAATTAAATTAACACTGGCAGTGAGCTGCACTTTTTTTCCTAAATGAGAAATGAGTTCAAAATCTGAAATATGCAAGCTATCAGGGAATATAATACTTAAGCCTTTCCTGAGGAACCTACTGAGCGGATAAGCTTTATTCCACTAAAAGATGACTAGGAACATTTTGGCTAAAGGACTGATGGTGATTGAGTGTTTAATTGAGAATCTAAGGCTAAAACAAAGGTAATGAGAAGAATGGAAGAATATATGTTGTATTCTGACAAACAAACAATACAACTAAAAGGAGAAAAGAGGAAATGAACAAATTGATTGTTTCATAGGAAATTAGGTAGAAGTCAAAGGATGTAATAAGCTGACAAACCAAATGGTAGGAGCTTGAATACGGAATAAAGGTGACCAAAGACAATATAAAAAATATTAGTATAAAAGTAATTACTAGAGCAAAAATCTGAGATTTTCTAAATACCAAAGGAATTTTTTTTACAACAAAATACAATACACAGACTATAAAGTACAGCAATTATAATGAACGCAGTAAAAACAAAATATGGTAGAATTGAGACCAAACATACCAGTCATATCAATAGGCAGCTGTTCTATTAAAAACATATTCAAATTGACTCACAAAACAGCACCTAATTTTATACTAGATACAAAAAATGGAGGTAAAACAAAGTGATTCAAAGTCTGAAAATAAAGAGATGGGCGAAGGAATACCAGATGCATGCACATGCTGTCTTTATCAGGCTTAGGTATCAGTGTGATACTTGCTTTACAAAAAATATTGTCACATTTTTCTTTTTCTGTATTCTGGAGTAATTTATAGGTCTTTGAAGCTTTGGTAGAATTCCCATGTGAAATTTTGTGGGCCTTTTGCTTTTTCGTATGTTAATTCTTTGATTACTTTCTCTGTTTCTTCTATGGAAGTCAGTTTTGGAAGACTGTTTTTATTTAGATTATCTACTTCATCTAGGCTTTCAAATTCATTTATCAAAAGTTAGACCACATAGTGTCATGATTTCTTAGTTGCCTGTTTCAATGGTTATTTCTGTCGTCATTTCTTATTTTGTATGTTCGTGTACTCCTTTCTTCTTATCCTTTTTTCAGTTAGTTTAAGTCACTACTTAAGTGGTCCATCTGTTTTGTTAAAAAAATTTTTTTTTAAAAAAACAGGATTTTGTTTTATTAATTAGTTCTACGTTTTTTCTGTTTTTACCTCAGTTTATGGTTTATCTTTACTATTTCCTTCCATAAGCTTTCTTTTGATTTACTTTGCTCTTCTTTTTTTGGCTTTCATAGTTGGGATTTTAATTCACTTATTTTTATTCTTTTTTATTTATGTAACTATTGAAGTGCTATATAACAGATGGGAACATGCGAAAAAGACACATGAGCCAACTTTTGGAGGCTCCCACTGTCCAAAGGGGACAATTTTAACATCACAGAGAATGACATTAATGGATTATAATACACTGAGGAAAAAAATTCATGAGTCCATAGTGATTTTTTTTTTTTTAATAAAAAAATGGATGTGGGATAGAGAGAAAGCCTTCTTTATGGAAGAATGACAACTGATAATTATAGAAAGAACAGGGTATTCACATATTCTCAAAGAAATACCCTTCAGATTATGTATTAATAGCAGTGAAAAAACATATGATGGCTACTACCCTAGCCAAGTGATCAAATGTAAAATGACCAGCAATGGGACACATTAATATCATGTGCTTCCTGATATCTTGTACTAAGATCTAAGAAGGACACAATATCACCTACATACAATTCTTGCCAAAAATATTTAACCTGGTTCCAGTCATAAGAAAACATGAGATAAATTCAAATTGAAAGATTTTCTGCAAAAGAAGTGGCCTGGATTCTTAAAACAATGCTGGGGGTGAAAAAAAGGAAAGAAAGACAAATGTGGTAGGGGAACTGTTCTGGATTAAAGAGATATGAAAATGGAATGTACATTAGGATATTAACCTTAAATTTCTTGAAAATGAAATGTACATTAGGATATTGTATTAACCTTAAAATGTATTGTGGTTCTAGGAAAGTGTTCTTTCTTATGAGATGCATCCTGACTTTAGGGTGAAATGTCACCATATCTGCAATTTTCAATGCTCATCAAAATTTTTAGAAGTTTATACATATACATATTTATCTCAGAGAGTAAATATGGCAAAATGCTAACCATTGGGAATTTAAAGAAAGAATATAGGGCTTTCATTGTACTGTTCTTTTAACTTTTCTGTAAACTTGAAATTTTCTTTAAAAGTTGATGGAAGGAAAATAGAAAAAACTTATACAGAAAATGTACTAGGCTTAGAAAATTTAAGACATTTTTCTTTGGTTAATTGTTTCTTCTGTTCACTGCCAGAGGTTAGTTTTTCAATCTAATTTATAAAGAGGCCCTAACCCCACCCAGGCCTTATCTCACTGACTCATTTCTCCCAACAACTTCCTTTCTCATGCACTGAAGACACGTTGGTCGTTTTTTTGTTTGTTTGTTTTGGTTTGTTTTTTTGCCTTTGGTTGTTAATTCTAAACAATCCAGTTTCTTTTCCTTCCTTTTTCTCTCTGCTTGAGTGTGCACAAGCACTTTCACTGACATTAGTATCTCTGCTGGAGTGGGAGTTTCTGTACACCCAGGCTTAGCTAAAGCAAGTGAACAATAAGCCCCTTCTATTTCAGATGAGAGCCAGGAAAGGAAAAAGAGGATAACTTTTATGCTGTTTTTATGTTGACTAGCTCCAGGATTCCTTCTTTCTCTCTCTGAGCATTAGTCTCTGTCAGCTTCTCTCTTCTGAAAAGTCCTTCATTTACATGATCTGGTGTTCTTGAAATGATCTCTTAAGGTTCAGGCCAGTTGTGTACCATGACAGAGTATCTTTTGTCTCATTTTCTCCCTCCCCGCAAACGGAGGGACTCCTACCCTGCCTTTTGCTCTAATTGGCTGCATGCCCACATCCTGGTCTGAAAGTCTCCTCTCTCCCTTTCAGATGACCCAGCAGATGGCTGGGATGAACTTCTGTGGAGCCAATGGCATGCTGAGCTATGGACAGTCGATGAGCGGCGGAAATGGACAGGCAGCAAATCAGACTCTCAGCCCTCAGATGTGGAAATAAAAACAAAACACTTGTATGGCTGCCACTCTCCTCTGCCCAATCTCTCCCCCTTTTCCCTCTTTTCCCAACTCTTTCACCCCACCCCCCTTTCCACCTCTCTCAGTTTGATTTAGAAATTGCTCAATCTGTCATTTGAGGTTTGGCATTCTGCCCAGCCCAGCCACTTCCCAAACACGTAGACCTCTCTGTTGCTTTATGTTGTACATGTTCCCTAGCCATCCTGGCTTCCTCCCCAGCCTCAGCCCCAGTCCTCTCCTGCACCAGCACCTTAGGAATTGTGGGCAGAAGGCACTTAAACCGCAGGAGGAATGTGCACACCTTTGAGTACCTCTCCTGCAAAGTTAAACCTCCTGTTAGAGTCTCAGAAGGGTCTGTATGCGTTGTGTTTTAGGCAAAGAGGACAGGGTTAGAGGTACTTCCATATGTGTTAATAAGCTATTTCTACATGTTTAAATTATTGGTTGAAGAGGAAGCCATCATGCTCCAATGATTTATGGGAATGAAGAAAGTACTGAAATCAAATTAAATACTTCTTAGGTCTTAGATCAGGTTGGCCCTAGCCCTGGGAGGAGGCAAAACCCTATCTGTGAGGATAAGCAAAAATATTACTCTACTGTGCCCTGAATTGCTTTTTGGATCTGAGGCTTCAGGACTCGCTGCTTCAGTCAGCCTTTATTAGCACCAAAGACTGTGAAGGTCCCAAACAAAAATGCACACCCCTTTCCCTGCCTCTGTCCTGCCTGCAGTAGGAACTGGCTCAGTGGCTGGGGGGCCAGCCCCTCCAGTGAGAATGCGGAGCTTAACGTATGTACTGTGCGCACGCGCGTGTGTGTGTGTGTGTGTGTGTGTGTGTGTGTGTGTCTGTGTGTGTGTTTTTCTCCCACTCCCCATCTGCTCTAGGTATTATTTTTTTTCTTTCAGTTTTAGGTTTACAACAGAGAGGAGTTAATTTATCAACAGCCAGTTTTTCGTGAAGTTAAACAAGATTGCAATCTCATTGATGGCTCCCTTCTTTCTTTCCCCTCCCTCAACTTGCCAATCACTCTTTCATGCCTGTGTTTCCTGCGCTGCTCTGTTTCCCTACCTGTTCCAGGTGTATGAGGCAGAGAGCCTGGACAGCTTTCCTCTCAGTCATTGTTCACCCTCCTTGAAAATTAAAAAAAGAAAACTTTGCTTAAAAGATTTCGTCCGTGGGAACCACAATTCCTGGTTGCCTTTTTCCTGTGTATGTGTAAATTCCTTAATAAATATTACAGGGAAGGACTGTGTGCTCGCTGTTACTATGTGTCACTCTTGGAGGTGGGTGAGTTCCACCCAAGTTTTCGGCTTTGCTTTCTGTATTTTAAAAAATTCTATATGGGGCATGCCCAAGGGCCAGGCCTAGGATCAGGCAGTCAGAAAGGAGACCTTTCTCCATTGGCGTCTAGAGTTGTGATCTGAGAGAACTGTGGAGATCTGTACCTGCTAGAGTCACAACACTGGAACTTGAAGCACTTTTTTCCCCTCAGATAGGGAAACTGAGGCCTTCCCTTCACTCCCCTCCCTTCCCCCCTTAGCCCCCCTTTACTCCCTTTCCTCCTTTTTCCTCCTTCCCACCCTTCCCTCCCTTCCTCCTTTTCTCTGAGTACATCTTTTGAATACGTCCAGATGTGGAAGGATAGCACAATGGCTGAGAAAGTGAGCCTGGGTCAGGCTGCCAGTGTTCTTATCTCTTTTTACTCTGTGACCTGGTTAAGCTACTAAACCCCCAAATCTCAGTGTAAAATGGGGCTAATGGTAACACTTAAGGGAAAATGAAGCAATTCCTGTGGTGCATGTAACACAGTGTTGGGCACTTAGGACACAAATGTGAGCAAGCAAGTATTACATGCCAGACCTACGTTAGGCATTAATGCATTCAACAGATGTTTAATAAGTGCTTACAATGTGCCAAACACTGTCTTAGGTTCTGAAATAAAGCAATGAATTAAACTCCCTGATAGCATAGAACAGTGTGGTTAAGAGAAGTGGACAATAAACAAGTAAATAGATTATTTCATTTTGGGCAGTAATAATTTAAGGTAAGACAAGGGCAAAGAGTGGGTATGGGACCATTTGAATGCAGGTAGTCAGGAGGAGGTTACATTTCAACTGAGATCTGAGTAAGCAGCCAGTGGTGTGGGGCTTCAGAAAAATGCCGAATAAGGGTGAATGTCTGCATTGGGAATTGTTTGGCTGGAGGTATAGGTTTGGGAGCTATCAGGGTACTGATGGTTTGTGAAGCCCTGAGACAATATAGTGTCACCTAAGAAGGCATAATGAGAAGAGGACTGAGCCTTGGAGCCCATCAGCTTTTAGAATTTGGGACGAACAGATAAATGAATCAGACATAGTCCCTGCTCTTAAGAAGCTCACTCATGAGGCAAGACTTAGAATCCCTTATACATGTTCAAGGTGAGCTAGTGGGGCACCTCACCTGTCAGGGAAATCTTAAGGACAGTGGCACTTGAGCTAGGTGGAGAGAGAGAGTAATTAACCAGCAGGTAGGGTAGAATTGGGAGAAGAGTATTCCAGACCCACAGCAGTTCCATGTGAACAAGACAGAGAGCCCTTCAAGAGCACAGAACAGTCAGAGAAGCACAGCAATTCAGTGTTTCTAAGGTACGATCTGAGTCGGGGTGTGGTGAGAAGTGAGACTGAGGTGGGGTTGGGCCAAATTCAGGGGGCTTCCTATACCTTAGGAAGTTTAGCCAGAAGTGTGGTAAACAGTGGAGTGGCATGGTCAGATTTGAGTTTTAGGCAGTGCTGAGAACAATAAGAGAACGAGGCCAGATCTAGGGGACCAGAGAGAGGGCTGTGGTAGGGGTACCGAAGGATGGCGCAGCTAAGAGCAGCAATTCATGAACTGCTTATGAGGCATGTGAGATGCTCAAAGGTGTTCCACAACAAAGCTAAAATAAGTTTGGGAAAGACTGCATGTTATATCACCTCTTGAACATCTAGAATATAATATCCAAATAGTAATGTCTCTGAAAAGTCCTGTGGTAAAGACTTTTTCTTACTAATTATTAGACTTTTTTAGAATGATTTTATGTTCACAACAAAACTGAGCAGAAAGTATACTTCCCACATACCCCACACCAGAGTGGTATATTACAGCTGACGAACCTACATTGACTCGTCATCCCAAATCCATAATTTACATTAGGGTTCACTCTTGGTATTGTACATTCTATGAGTTTTCACAAATGTATAATGACATGAATTCAATGTAGTACTGTACAGAATATTTTTACTGTCCTAAAAATCCTGTGTGGTTTGCTTGTTCATTCCTTCCTTTCCCTTAGCTCCTGGCAACCACTGATTTTTTTTTTTTTTTTTTAACTGTCTCTATAGTTTTGCCTTTCCTGGCATGTCATTTGGTTGGAATCATACAGTATGTAGCCTTTTCAGATTGGCTTCTTTCATTTAGTAATGTGCTTTTAAGTTTCTTCCATGTCTTTACATGGCTCATTAGCTCATTTCTTTTTAGTGCTGAATAATCCATTGTCTGGATGAACATTTATTTGTTCACTTACTGAAGGACAGCTTTGTTTTCCAAGTTTTGACAATTATGAATAAAGTTGCTAAAAACATTTGTGTGCAGGTTTTTGTGTGGATATGTTTCCATTTCATTTGGGTAAATACCAAGGAGTGTGATTACTAGATCGTATAAGAGTATGCTTAGTTTTGAAAGAAATTATTGAAGTTTGCCAGAGTGCCTGTACCATTTTGCATTCCCACCAGCGATGAATGAGAGTTCCTGTTGCTGCATGTTCTCACAAGAATTTGGTGGTGTCAGTGTTTTGGATTTTGGCCCTGCTAATGTGTGTAGTGGTATCTCATTTTAATTTGCAGTTCCCTAATACATAATATTGAGCATCTTTTCATATATTTACTTGCCATCTGTGTTTCTTCTTTGGTGAGGCATTTTATCAGGTCTCAAAATAGCTACCCAGTTGTCCTAATGACAGTTGAATAATCCATCATTACTCCACTAGTTTGAAATGCCACTTTTATAACATTAAATTTTAATAATCAAATCTTCCGATTTCATTTCACTGATTTATGAGTAAAATTTGGTATTAGTTTTATCTTATTTTCATTATTATGCCTCAATAATACAAGATAATATCTTCTATTATATTTGTAGGGCAATTGATACCAATTATATTGATAGAACAAGTCTGACTTCATTATTGTTGGAAATTTTTATTGGCCATTCTGGAACATTTACCATTCCACATAAATTTTAGAATCAATTTAGTAAGAAGAAAAGTTGAGATTTTGATTTGGCAGCATCAAAGTAGAGGAAAACTGACATATTTAGAATGTTCTATTCAATTCTTGAATTTGGTATATGTCACTCTTCTCTCCATTTAAATCAATAACTTTTATAGTTTATAATGTCTCACAGATTTCCGATTTATTCTTAGCTATATTTTCCAATTTTTTATTATGAAAATATTCAAACAGAAAAGTTGAATTTTACAGTGAACATTCACGTACCACTCCCTAGACTCTACTATCAACATTTTACTATATTTTATGCTGTGTTTTTGTTGAGTAGCACACAGGAGCATAGAATGCCCGGATTCATCACTCGCAAGCTGCATGATGCAACACAAGTTACTCAATTTTTTCAAATCTCAGTTTTCTTATCTGCAAAGTGGGACTAATAATAGTACTTACCTCAAGGGGTTGTTATGAGGACTAAATCAATTAAAATATGTAATGCACTTAGAACAAAGCCTCATACTTTGTAAATACTATATGCTACTGTATTAGTCTGCTTAGGCTGCTACAACAAAATATGAGACTGCGTGGCTTTAAAAAATTTTATTTTCTCGCAGTTCTGAAGAATAGAAGTATCAGATCAAGGTCTGGCAGGCTCAGTTTTTGGTGAGGGCTCTCTTCCTGGCTTGTAGATGGTGCCTTCTTGCTAAATCCTCACTTTCCTCAGTGCCTGCACCTTCAGAGAAAGAGAGAGTAGGAGGGAGTGGAGGAGGTTAAGACAGAGACAGACACCCCTCTGCTTTCTCTTCTTGTAAGGACACTAATCCTATGGTATTAGGGCCCCATCTTTATGATCTCGTTTAATCTTAATTACTTTCTTCTCCAAATACAACTACACTGGGGTTTAGGGCCTCAACATATGAATTTGGGGGAGTGGGTGGAGAGACATTCAGTCCATAACAGCTAGCAACTATATAGTTTCTATATTTCTAAATTGCTATTTTTGTAAGCTATTGACGTATATATTTGGGAAGATGTATTCCTATTTTGTTGGGGAGACAAAATCCAGCAATAAAATGCCATTACGGTGTGATCATTTTGGGGAAAAAAAAAATGCATGAAAAACCACTGCTGGCTGTGTGTGTGTGTGTGTGTGTGTGTGTGATGCATGAAAAACCACTGCTGGCTCTCTGTGTGTGTGTGTGTGTGTGTGTGTGTGTGTGTGTGTGAGAGTGTGTGTAGGTAAGTGTGTGCACCAAATGTTAACAATGATTATTTCTGCTTGGTGAGATTATAGGTAATAATTAATGCTTTTTGTATTTCTTGGCATTTCGGAAATACAAGGAAAGCGATTTACATAAGAACTTGCTGAATTATAGAACAAAAAACTATCTGATCATGGTATTCTTTTAGTAAAACATTGGATTCTACTCCGTTTTCATTCTTTTTTCATATACTTATTCAGTGACAGTGGTATGGATTCCTTCATACCAATGTTTCCCTTCTGTCAAGGGTTTCAAACTTCCCCACAGAAACTCAACATTCCTATTCTCGGCAGAGGAGAGCTGGTTCTATTTCGTAGTCCCTGTATGGGGTAGGGGAACAAGAACACAGGCTCCGGTTCTCCTGCAGAAGCGGGGCTGCTTGCCCCTGTTCGGATCCGGGATGTCACAAACCGAGAGGGACCGAACCGCACGACGAGCATCCCGGGAGGCGACTGCGAGCTGCCCTAGAGGACGCTGGGAACCACGCGCGGAGGCCGCGCTCGCGCAGGCGCACGGGCCGGGACCGTGCTACGTGGGAGTGTTTTAGCGTAGTGTGGACACCCGCTGGCCGGGGCGGTAGGCCGAGGGCTTGGGCTTGCGATCCGAGCCGATGAGGGGTGAGCCGGAACTCTCCGGGGTCTGGGGAGGAGACGAGCAGGGGTGCGCCGGTTCTGCCCCGCGGGCGGTCACCCGTGGCGCGCGGTGAGCCTAGAGCTCCGGAGTCGGGCTCAGACAAAGGCTGCGAGGGCAGGGCCGGCCGGTCCAGCTCTGGAGAAAGGTTCAGCCTCTCCATTTATCAGGGAGGAAACAGGATTAAAGCGGGTACAGGATTTGCCACAAACGACAAGTAAAGGAGCTGGGATTCAAATCTAGATCGTTTTTGATCCCAAATCTCAGACTGTTTTACACATACTGGTGCCTGAAACAAAGAATTGGGTTGTACCCATCTACTCATGCTTCACTGAGTCCAGCACCGTGTTTTGGACCATGTGTGTTGTGTATATCCACGGTCTCCATGTATCTTTTGTAAAAAAATTGTTCAGTGATTCGTGCAAGTTCTAGAATTCTGACCGTGTGATTGAGGCTTCTAGATTCTTTGCTGACTCTAATGTTTTCTGCCCAGCATCACCAGGGGACGATCGAGGTCGCTGCTTAGCTGCTTAGCATAAATACCTGGAGCCTCCACCTGCCTGCTGAGGAGACAAATGGAGCTCAAGATGGGACGTGTGCCTTGAGAGCCTTGACATTAAAAGGTCCAGACTCCGGATTTTGGTACTGTTATGTTCCCTAGGTTCCTGAGAGGGAGGTCACCGATACAACTGTGACGCTTCCTTTTAGTTTACGGCAGTTTCCTCATCAAAAGTGGACAAGCCCCATCAGGACTCTCTGCCTTGTGGGCTGAGGCCAGAGAGTCCCACGGAAAGGAAGAGAAGGAGGGCGGATGTCATCATGCTGCAGCGGCTCCTGATCACCCTGCCCACCCAGGCCCCCACCTGGGTAAAGTTGCACCATCCAAGGAAGGCCAAGGAGGGGGCGCCCCTGTGGGAGGACGTGACTAAGATGTTTGAAAGAGAAGGTGAGAGTAGACTGATGGGTGGGAGGGAGGAAAAACAACATCCTCTAGTGTGAGAAGGAAGGTAGACTCCTGAGCAAAAGCATCTCCTGGGGAGACAATTGGGTAAGAGGTCTCTGGAGGTCTTGATTATGGCTCCTGGCCTGGGGTTTTCCTGAGTAGTCATGTTCAACTTAAAACCATTATTTCAGTGTCATGGCTGTATATGTTATTTCTTTTCATCTTCCCCATGGGTGTGTGGAGCAGGGAGGACTTGCCTGATTTTCCATATTTTATAGTGAGGAAATGTGAATCAAACAAGAGACCTAGCCAGGTAGTTGGTGGCTATGTCAGAAGTAGAAGGCAGCAGGGAGAGTACCAGGTGAGTCCCGAGTATCTTGTGCTGGAAAGCAAGAAAAAGCTCAAAGATTAATGGACATTTATCACATGGATACAAGAGCCAGGTTCAAGGGGCTTCTACTGGACAAATTTGACGCAGTTTAAGTGTCCAAATTGATTGTAACACCTTGAATAAATAAAATTCCTTAAGTTCACGATGACATTAAAATAGAGAAGGAAGGCGGGGAAACTCATTTGCCAGCATTGGTGGTGATTAATACACTGATTTCTTACTTTGAAAATAGATTATTATGTGAATGAAGGATGCAATTTATCTTGCTTGTTAGATCATTTCCATTTCTCGAGGGAAAGTTTTTTACAGAAAATACCTGCCAATAATAAATATAGAAGAAATGAGAGAATATTTTACTGTAAATGAAATAATTGAAAGATTGATGGAGAACAGGATATTCACAAGGTATCAGTTTTGTGCCTACACATTATTTGTTAAATGCCAAGGAAAGAACATACTTTTCCAATGGTGAGATCTAGTAGTCAGATCTTAACCAAGTGTCCCAATAATGGGATAAACTGGCATTTTGCACCTTCTGGGTAATATAAGGGACATGGTATCACTCATAAGGTATTCTTGCCAAAAATGTTTAACCTGATCCTAAATTAAGCTTAAAGGCGAACTTCTGGTTTAAAGAAAATACAGGGAATGGAGAAATAAGATAAACCCCACCATGAGGATACAGTCAGACTGTTCTGGTCTCTAAAAAAGCTAAAGTCCTGGAAAAGGGGGAAATACTATTCTAGAGTAAGAGAGACTAGAGATAACAACCACTTTGTGTGAACCTTGACTGGCCCCAGGTTAGGAAAAAAGCCATAAAAAAAGACAATTTGGGAACAATGGAGGAAATCTGAATATGGACTGAATTTTTAGATGATACTGTAGAGTTAAAAATGGTATTGTGATAAATCATATTATGGTTACGCAGTAGAAGAATGTTATTTGAAGTGTTTTTGGATGAAGTATCACGATGTCTGTAACTGCAAAACAGTTTAGAAAAAAATACAGATGGATGAAGCCAATATGGCCAATGTTAATAGTCATTGAATGTAGATGGTGGATATATGAGTGTTCGATATTCATGATAAAAAGTTGGGAAAAAAATACAAGGACAATGATTTGTGTGCCTTCATTCCTAATTTGTAATTTAATACCTCAAATTCAGCTGCTATTTCTTGGATTCTAGCAACCTGGCAGGGTGTTATGTTTAACACTTTAAAAGATGGGGAAAAATAAACCAAATACAGTTTCTACCCATATCCTCATAATTACACTCAATTGAAGGAGATAAATATAAAAACAAATATAATAGGCAGCCTGGGATAGATACCAGAGAATAAAACCAAGCCTTGGGGGAGTACAGGGGAGAGGAACGTGTCTTCTTTTTAAGGATGTCCTGAGAAAACTTCACTCGAACTGGTCCAGAAGGATACCTCAGTTTTTCAGTAGTAGGACCCTGGGGGAAAGTACTTGAGGTGGGTGCTATCCAGGTATGTTCAATGAATGGTGAATAGGATGATGTGGGGGAGTGTGGCCAGTGGATGAGGATGATGTTTAGAGGGAGATAATACTTGGAGAAGCAGTTTTGGACTGGTGGTGGAGGATTTTGAAGCCATGGTGAAATGTTTGGATTTTTCTTTCTTGTCAGTGGGAAACCTCTGAGGATTTTTGGATAGAGGCGTGGCCTGGCAGATGGGTGCTTTCGGACTAGCACTGACATTGAGAAACATTAATCCCCAAAGCAGTGCACTGCAGATCCTCGTTAGGGAGGTTCCAGTCTGCTTTGGAGCTGTTCTAAATGTCCGTCTTCTTGAATGTATTGAGGGAGGAGCCACATTAGCAGGTCTGCAGACAGTTTTTTGATTTGGGCGATCTGGGAGATACAAACCTCATAGCTCTTTTCCTTCTCTAGTTCTGCTATCTCAGAATGCTAATGAGACTCAGGGAGAAAGTTTCCAGAATGAAGTGACCCCGGGGCCCTCTACAACAGAATCCCAGGTGGGTCGGAGTTTCCTGTCACTTTCTTGAAATTGTTTCTCAGATTTTAAGAGCCCTAGACTTTGCTTTTCTTTGACTTTGACTTCCTGGCTTGGATTTTCTTAGCCTGTTTGAAACGAGGCTGAACCCATTGATTTCACAGGTAATTTCCCCACCAGTAGTAACCTTCCTCAGGAATCCTCTTGTTTCTAGCAAATCTCTAGCCATTTATGCAACGCATTTAACAATTATGCTGGCGGGGGGGCGGTGGGTGGGGGGTAAAATTTTATTGTGTAGTTCTTACTCTTAAACTTCAGGGATGTCATCTGGGAAAAAGAAAAACATTGTAAACATTTTAAGTGGCATTTTAAAATGAACAGAATCAGATTCTGGTATTCTTGGAGATGTATAAACTTCATTAATGACCACTGAGAGAGGATTTTTGGTCATATCCTGGAGCACAATGTAGCTGAAAAGAGAAATGAATAGAGAAGCTACTAGTGGATCATGAAAGGCAACAACTAAATAGGCTGAACAGAAAAGGAAAAAAAACTTCTAAGAGTAGAGTAACAGTGTCCGTATATCATAAATGAGAAAACCAGTGGCACTGACAAAGCTCTGTGCTCCCAAACCCCAGAAGCATAGGGAAACTCAAGAAAATTATAATCAGAGAAAACCAATATAGAAGATACTATTATAGGACAGAAGTGTTTATTTTATTTTTAAAAATTTTTAATTTTTTTATGACATCGATTAACGAAATCCAGTAAGTTTCAGGTGTACAATTTAAGAGTAAGGCATATATATATTGCATTGTGTGGTCCCCTCCCATAGTTAGATTTCTTTCTGTCACCACGTATTTGACCTCTTTCACTCCATCTATATCCGTCCTCCCCCCTTCCCTCCCGCTCTGGTAACCACTAGTCAGTTGTCCATGTCCATGAGTCTCTGTTTGTTTGTCCTGTTCGTTCGTTGCTTTTAAGTTTATATTCCACATATAAGTGATATCATGTGGTTTTCAACTTTTTCTGTCTGGCTTATTTCGTTTAGCATGATTATGTCAAGGTACATCCATGAGAAGTGTTTTAAAGTGGGGCGTCTTAGCTTCCAAAATCACATGGTACAGGATTTAGTCCCATGTGTTTTACCTTCCTGAAATTGTTTGTCATTTGTTAAATGTGGATGCTAATATCAGCCTAATAGGTATGAAATACATTATTTATAGTACATAAAAAACATTAAAATAGTCTCCATACTTAAGGAATTCGTTATTATCTGAGTCTTCTGGCTTTTGAGTTCTCTTTGCATTTGGGAATATTTTTTTTAAATAGCTATCAAATGGTTATTAAATTTGTGTAGATCAAATATAACAGGCTCTTGTACTTTATAATGCAGAATGTCAGCTTCCATCAGGGAATCTTCCTTACTAAGTGTAATTCCTGCACTCTCCAGAAACATGCTATTCTCACATACTTTTCTTACTAACAGAAATACCCAGCTACTAATTTTTTACTCAAGCTGAAATGTTCTCATTTTCACTAATTCTTTCAGCCCAACAGTGGTCTCTGTCTCTTCTTATGGCCTTTGCCCCTTTTGAACTCTCCTCTTTCTCAAATATTTCTGATCTTTATTGTCCTTAATCTAAATTACTACACAATGTTCTGTGACCTTCTTTAATATTTCATGAGTATTTTGCTTTCTGCCAAGTTTTAAGTTGCAAAAGACAGCTTACATGCCCTAGGCATTGTTTTTGTAACCTCCAGCAGAGAATCATCAGCCAAACAGTTTCCAAGAGAGTGTCCAGGAAAACTTGACTAGAATCTTAAAAGATTAAATAAGTTCAGAACAAATTCCTGAACTCTGGCTGAAAAGGAACATATTTGATGTTCTAGGAACTGTTAACTTTCAAGGACATATCTGTGGACTTCACCCAGGAGGAGTGGGGGCATCTGGCCCCTGCTCACCGGAATCTGTACCGGGAGGTGATGCTGGAGAACTATGGGAACCTGATCTCAGTGGGTAAGGATGGGTCCCCCTCGTAACTAGAACCTACCTATTGGAAGAAAATCTTTATTTCTAAGTTAAGTGCTATGCTGGGGCTTTAGGTTCTCTTTTATAGGTTTCTATACCAGGTCAGGATTGCTGTGGTCTTTTGTGCCCTGGTCTTTGTACTCCACCCTTTAGAAGGTCTGAATACCAAAGAACTCTCTTAAATTCTTGAGATAGCTTTTTGACCTCAGCACATACAGTTTTTTCTTCTCCATGAGCAGGATACGAGCTTTCTAAACCTGGTGTCATTTCCCAGTTGGAGAAGGGAGAAGAACCCTGGCTGACTGAGAGAGAGATTTCAGGAGGTCCAAGTTCAGGTAAGAGTAAGACAGATGGGGTCTTTGTCATGTTTGCCAGAGAGTTCCACTCAAAAGCTGCTCTGGGCTGTGAGGAAAGGCTGAGGCCGTTAGAATGGAACTCACAAGAAACCTGATTACCACTGTTACCTGTTTCCTGCATTTGCCTCTCCTCATTAGTTTCTCTGGAGTCAGAGGAAGAGACGCCTTTCTCGTCAGGGTAAGTCTTCTTTACCATATCTCCTGATCTGACTTCCATGATTTTCTTGCTTTCTCTAGCATTCCAAAACCTACCCTGATCATAGTTTCTTTCTCCTGTACATTCAGGTATCCACGGATCTCTCCTCATTAAATACAGTACTCTTCACTGGATTCTCATGTCATTTTATCATAGATTTCACTTTCTCTCATGATTCCATTTAAAATTTTCCTACTACATTTTATTCTGTGATCATAGCTTCAATTCTGATTATCTTTTTAATTTGTGTGACTTAACTTTTTATTTCAGATAATTTATGACTCTTTAAGAAATCGCCACAGAATTCCTTACCAAATCTTGTGGCTTTGTCAACTTCTAAGAACAGTAGTAATGATAGCTATTTAATGAGCTGGCCTCTGTGAGTCCTGTGCCTACTTTAGCCTCATCTTACAAATGGGGAAAAAAAGCTCATAGAGTGAGAAATTTGTACAAGATCACTGAACTACTACTTGGTGGAGCCAATATTTGAATTCTAATCATTCTGACTCCAACTCTACAGCTTGTGTTCTTATGGCACTATTCTACAGGCCAGCATTAGGTTATATAGACTTCATCACCTTCTCGGTATTCTTTCCTCCAACAGCTAATTTAATAGTTTTGTCTCCTCTGTCTTATTTCTTTCTCAGTGCTTCTTATCAATATCCTTTTGATACAGGTTTATCCTTTCCACCTTTGCTAGGATAGGCTAAACTACCACAGCAAATGGACTCTAAAATTTGTCTCAGATGGAATAGGAATTTCTCACTTATATACTGGTTTGTTGGTTCAGTGGACAGTTCTTTTCCACCTGGTGAATCTGGGACCAGAATTTCTTCTGCCTGGTGGCTCCAAAATCTCCTAGAGCCTCCTCATCATCTGAATTTAGCCAGCAGTAGGATAAGTGCAAGGGGAGCTCATTTGGGAGTTTCGTATGGGCCAGCTGGAGTGGTTCACATCACCTTCACTCTCCTTCACTTCATGGGGGAGACCTTTGTCACTTAACTCAATCAGATTCAAGGAGGACTGGGAAATATATATAGTTGTATATTCAGAAATATATATAGTTGTATATTCATGGTAAAAGGGGGCCTAAAATATATATAGTTGTATATTCAGAAATATATATAGTTGTATATTCAGATTGTGGCAGCCAGCAGTCTCTGCCACAATCTCTAAGGAGCCCCTGTCTTTTACACTGCAATTCTGTTTCTGTACAAACTCCCACAAATGAATTGTGATGGTTTCAGCTATCCCTTTGATACCTATATTCTCCATATTTTCATCTCGGTCTTATACATTCAAATGAACTCTATTCCCATATATCCCTGATATTTAGGACATCTCTATATAGATGCACTGTTGTCACTTCAAACCCAGTACATTAAGTAACAGAAGACATATTCTCTCCTAAACAAGTGTCTCATCCTGACTTCTCTTGTTCTTTTAGTTTCTAATGCTAGAAATCTTGATATCAGCAACAATGAATCATGCTTTCTACTCTGTTTTCTCTGCATTTCCCATGGTTTCTTCTTTGATATTACATGTTAGATCCACTTCTACTCTTCATCTCTGTTGAACTTGCTAAGGCAAGTTCCCATCATCTCATGCCTATTACTGTGATTTTCTAGTTACATTTATTGATGTCTTATTTTCTTTCTCTGAATCATTTTGATTGTTACTGCCAGATTTAACCACTCAAAATATATATCCTGTTCTTACCCTAAAAAGAAAGTTAAGTAACTCCTTATTCCCCGTATTAAGTAATCTAAACATCTTCACTTGTGTTTTAAATCTTCTCCAAAAGAACACTTTGTATCTGCTATTACTAAAGTGAGGTTAGAAATCCTGGGGAATAAGATTGCACTGTGAACAGGAAATAGCGTTTTAGGAAGGCAGGGTCTGAATGGAAAGATAGGAAAAGAGTAAAAATCAGGGAAACATCTTCATCCAAAAATGTAATAGAAGATTTATCTCTGTCCTTTAAGATTTTACAACACAGTTAATATTTTTGCACAAATTGAGACCATTTTTCACCTCTTATATAGGCAAAAATTTTGAAGATTGATAAAAATCCCGTGAGTTTGCAGGGAAAGGCACTCACATTCACCGAGAGCACACATACCCACGACCCAGTAATTCCTCTTTAGTAAATCCTATGAAACACTAGTAGGAGTGTACACAAATGTATGTATAATGGGAAAATGAAAAATTAGATAATTAAAATACTATTTTTCAGTAAGGAAAAGTCAAATTATGATATATTCATTAAGTGTAATGCGGTCGTTAAAAAGAATGAGGTAAATATAATAAATACATAGACATGGTAAAAGGGGGCCTAAAAATATAGACGAGTTAAAAAACAAAACAAAACACATACAGAACTATATGTATACCACAATCCCTTCTTTGTGCAAATGTATATATGTGACCATATATCTGTAAATGCAGACATTCCCATCACATGTTGTTGAGAAATCTCTGAACAGATGCCATCCACAATCCTAAGAGACTGGAGGGAATGGGGATGAGGTTGAGAGAGGCTACCCCATTTTAGTGAATCAATTCCTATATTATTTAATGTTTTATTTTAAGGTGTAAAAAATATGAGATAAATACTTTAAAATTTTTAATAAAGAAAATTTTGTCATAGAAATATGGGCTTGACATGATATGGTGTTAGAATCCTGTCTTCCTTAATCTTATCTCTTGATTTTTGCCCTTACACCAATGCTTGCTTCTTACTCCATTTCCTCTTGCAGTTCACATGGTTGAACTCTCCCAATTTTTTAAAGTCATCTCTTGACAGCTTCCTTATACCACTTCCTCACTTCCTTCACATTAGCTTTCTAGGTGGAAGGATCACATTTAAAGTCCAAGCTTCCTTACCTAGTATGTTATTGTTTTTCTCTCCTGTTCTTACTATGGCCATTTATTTTTTAAAATGAAGTGAATATGGGTCATTTGTATTTTTGGATTTCTTTCAGACTTGGAGAGTAAAACAGAATCCAAAGAATTAACCTTAAAGAATGATATTTCGTGGGAAGAATTACACCATGGCCTGATGCTGGAAAGGTCCACAAGAGGAAGCACCTTGTATTCCACATTTGGAAGAATCACCAGACGTGTTAAGTTAGAAAGTCACCAGGAAAACCAAGGAATGGGTGAGGGGCAAATCCCCTTGATCCACAAGAAAATGCTTACTCAGGAGAGAGGCCAAGAATCTAACAGATTTGAGAAAAGTATTAATGTGAGTTCAAAAGTTATTCCAGGACCAGTAAGTCCTCCAAGAAAAAGAGACCATAAATATGACAAAGCTAAAAAGAGAAGTAGATACCATTTAGATTTGATTAATCATTCAAGGAGTTATACGAGATTGAAAACCTTTGAGTGTAATATTTGTGAAAAAATCTTCAAACAGCTTATTCACCTTACAGAACACATGAGAATTCATACTGGTGAGAAACCTTTCAGATGTAAAGAATGTGGAAAAGCCTTTAGCCAAAGTTCATCCCTTATTCCACATCAGAGAATCCACACTGGTGAGAAACCCTATGAATGTAAGGAATGTGGGAAAACCTTCAGACACCCATCATCTCTTACTCAACATGTGAGAATTCATACTGGGGAGAAGCCCTATGAATGTGGTGTATGTGAAAAAACATTCAGCCAGAGCATTGGGCTGATCCAGCATCTGAGAACTCATGTTAAAGAAAAACCTTTTACATGCAAAGACTGTGGAAAAACATTTTTCCAGATTAGACACCTTAGGCAACATGAGATTATTCATACTGGTGTGAAACCCTATGTTTGTAATGTATGCAGTAAAACCTTCAGCCACAGCACATATCTAACTCAACACCAGAGAACTCATACTGGAGAAAGACCATATACATGTAAGGAATGTGGGAAAGCTTTTAGCCAGAGAATACATCTTTCTATTCATCAGAGAGTACACACTGGAGTGAAACCTTATGAATGCAATCATTGTGGGAAAGCCTTTAGGCATGATTCATCCTTTGCTAAACATCAGAGAATTCATACTGGAGAAAAACCTTATGATTGTAATGAATGTGGAAAAGCCTTCAGCTGTAGTTCATCACTTATTAGACATTGCAAAACACATTTAAGAAATACCTTTAGCAATGATATGTGAAATACGTTCAACATCAAAGAATCCTCATCTTGGAGCAAAAGCCTTTAAATCGGTGATTTTCTGACTTAGATTTCAAAAACCAATATTTTCATTGGTTTGACCCAAAGTTACAACTATTAATTTTGCCATATTAAAAAACCCACCTATTATTAACAGTGTTTCAGAAAAGAAAGGCGTTTTAATATTTAAACATATAGGAAAGATTTAATCATAAAGAACAGCCCTTTATATTAAGTCACCTTTGTGAAAATCTCCCAAATTTGTCTTTATTTTTCTCATTTCTCTATAGGCCAGTGGAAATTTCATCATGGCAGGTCAGTGATCTGGGGACTGGCTTTTGAGAATCACTGTTTTAAATATCCCTTTAATGAATCAGAGCAACTTTTACTTAGACCTTTATATGGCTGGAAGAGGTATAAATAAAAATATTCGTTGGCTCATTTCAAGAAGAAAAAATGTTAAAGGTAGTTATCTAAAATTGATTGATAACCTACTATACATGAGATACGTAAAATATTCATAAGTATGTTTTATGTATATATACACGTATATATATACATACATACATAAGATATATGGTTTCTTATGAAGAAGAATTGGCAAACTTTTTCTGTAAGGGGCCAGGTAGTAAATAGGTTTGTTAGGTGTTATGGGCCATAAGGCCTCCGTCAGAAATGGTGAACTCTACCATTTTAGTGTAGAAGCATCCAGAGATAATGTATGATCCAGGGTATCTCAGCCTTGGCATTGCTGATCTTTTGGGCTGGATACTTTGTTATGGGCAGCTGTCCTGTGCACTGTTTATCTCTGGTCACTAGATGCCAGTGGTTCCCCCGCCCATAGTGACAACCAAAAATGTCTCCAGACATTGCTAGATATTCCCTGGGGATTAAGATTGTCCCTAGTTAAGAACTTAAATGAATGAATGAATGTAGCTGTGTTCCAATAAATTTTATTTAAGAAACAGATATTGGGTTATATGTAGTCCAAAGGCTGTAGTTTGCCACTTCTGCTATAGATTATGTAAGTGACTAATAATGGCAAGAAACACATTTAATGTCAAATTACTATGTTTGTGTATATATCTATGTCACAAGTCTTATGTCCTTATCAATTCCTTTTGTATTTTGTTGCAAGAATTTTAAGAAATCACATTTGTAAAGCTGTTGTGGAAGCTAGGTATTATTTATGGAGATATTTATGAAGACTTCAGTGTATAGTGATGCTTTTTTTTTGTTCATAGGTACTTTGGGATGTGTCTCTAAAAAATAAGCACTCATTTTTAAGACAGCCACAATGCCGTTATTACACCTAAAATTATTAGGCCATAATTCCTTAATACATATTGATGACTTTTTGAAGACAGATATATTGAGATCAGTGGTTGCCATTTTAATTTTTTTACTTTTCCCTTTGATAAATGTATAGTATTAGATTTGAAAATGTGCATTCTGTTGATTGGGAGGGATTTAGAGGTAACCCCCAGAACAACACATCTAGAGACCCACTAAAGAGGACCAGGGAGAAGGTGACTGCAAGGACCATATTGAGGCAGGGAAGTATGAGGGAGGAAGTGGAGGAACCGACTCATAGTACTTCACTACACTTAATAGATAATGCATCCTTCTAAACATAATTGGAGATAGGTCAAATTCAGCTTCTTAGGTGGCAGAACAATTCAATTGCCTGAGCATTGTGTGAACTATCAAAAGTAAAGCTGTAAATCTGGACTATAACATTATCTCTAGATTTTTTGTATTACTACATTTACTTTCTTTCTTAACTGGCTTCTAGGTCTTAAGTCCTTGTATGACTTTGATGGTTCAAAGGGAAGAGAGAATACACACTGTTCCTTATATATGTTCTATCATGTTTCTGTGGTCTTAGGTTTCCTAAGAGTTTGGGGTTTTCTAATGGCTTCTTTCAGGACAAGGCATGACAGGCACTTTATCAACAGTCCTTGTCTCGGTAATCTCATATAGCCTTATGGCATAAAATACAATCTCTATTTAACTGTCAAATTCACATCTCCAGCCCAGACCTCCCTCATGAGCTCCAGCTTTGTTCCTGACATCGGGCCTTTGCACTAGCTATTCCTTTAGATGTCCTATACCCTTACCTTCTCGAACTTTGCTCAGATGTTGTGTTTTCACTGAAGCCTATCCTGATCATGCTGCTTATACTTAGCATCTCAACCTGTTCCTTACTCCCCAGCTCCAATATTCCTAAACCACCTTAATTTGCTCTTTTTTTTTTGTTACCACATATCACCTAATATAATAGATATTTTTACACATTTATTGTGCTTACAGTTTACTATTGTCTCTCCCTACTAGTATATAAGCTCCATGAGGGCAAGGATCTGTTTTTTTCATTGATGTATATCACATAGTAGGGACTCGAATATTTGTTGAATTGTTCTGATTTGAACTGCTTGAATTATGTATCCCTGATAACAGCAGAGAAAGGTGATACCTATACTTTCCTATGTAGATTTTGTAGGCAAGATCTTTCTGTTTCTTTCTTTTTTTTTTCTCTTTTGCTTTGCAAATGGATGCAGTTTATAGGCCTCTAAGAACTATGAATTATAACTGACATACTTTTAAGATGGCAGGGTATTTTTAAATTAATTTGCCAAAAATGCAGTTAAATATGGCTGATTAACAACATAAGCTTACCTTGGTTTTTTAAGCATGAGTGAATAAAAAGCTAAGGGTGGGTAAAAGACAATACAACAGCAGACAGGAGATGTCAACATAATTTTGAAGAAGAGTGGTTACTGATTTAGCATAGCCTACAGATAAGTATACGGGCAAGAAGAAGTCCCTGGGAAGACAGGCCTTGGAGACACTGGGCATCATGGAAGACGAGGGGCTGAAAATTGGAATTGGTTGGAATTCTGTAATTAGATCCCAAGATCCCCTCACCTACCCCATACAGCAGGCTGCTACACACACATTCCTCTCTCATCCCTTTCTCCGTTCCATTACCACTTTCCCTCATCTCGGAGGAGACTAGAAGTTTGTTCCCTGGAGAAGGACCAGAGTTGCTCTGGAATCAGGGACACCAGAGACAGTAGAGACCAGGGGTTAGATGCAGGGCTGGAAAGGAGACTAAGGCTACATGGGAACTGTAGGGGCCTCATCCACTTTTGCCAGTGAAAGCCAGGCTCCACCCCTTCAACAGTGTCTACCTTCACAGACTGCTGAAGGGTCTTCACATACTTAATGGGCTAGGGATCCCAGTGGGGTCTCTCTTTATAAGAGCACTAATCCCATTCATGAGGTTTCCACCCTTATGACCTAAGCACCTCCTAAAGGTCCCACCTTCTAAATATCATATTGGGCATTAGGATTTCAACATACGAAGTTTCAGGGGACACAGATTTTCTGACCATAGTACACCCAAATTTATATTTCCAACTCCAAACTCTCTCTGCACTTCAGACTCTTAATTTTTAGTGCATAGTTGACTCCTGGATGTGTATTAGGCATCTCAAATTTAACAAGTCCATTTCTGAACCTGCTCTACCTCCAATGTTTCTTGTTTCCATAAATGGGGACATCTACTTAGTCAGACTCATCCTTGACGCCTCGAACTCTACATTAAATCCATCAAAAATTCTGTGGGCTCTATCTTCAAAATATATCTTTTCTCATCACCTCCACTACTACTACCAAGTCCAGTACATGATTTTCTCTCACTTGGATTATCGTGCACTTGCATCCTCCATGGTTCATTCTCCAAATAGCACCCAAATGATTTTGTTAATATAGAAGTAAGATCATCCTGCTTCTCAGTTCAAAACTCTCAAGGGCTTCCCATTTTTTTTTTAAAATAGATCCAATGTTCTTACTATAGTTTGTCTTAATATCACATTCCTTGCAAGTCGATGCACATGCCCACAAGTGCTTCCACCTCAGAGACTTTTGCCTACTGCTAACATGCTCTTTCTCCAGATATCAACATGGTTCACTTCCTGTCTATCAGGTCTCTGTTCAAATAGCATCTCATCAGAGGAACTTTTCCTTGATTACCCTCTATAAAATATCTCCCCACTTCTTATAGTTATTCTCTTTTGGGTTGATTATATTTTATCATTCCTTTCACCCTCTTTACTAGTTTGAAGTTAGGTACTCTACTTCTTTTAGTGGTTGCCCTGAAAGTTATAACATGCATCTGAAAAAAACTTTATTAAATTATAATAGTCATACAGATAAACGCATACATATGGCTATCTTGATGAATTTCAAAATTAAATACGTCTATGTAACCAGCTCATAGATTAAGAACAGAAATTATAGCATTTCAGTCATTATTCTCCAAAGGATAATGTCTAAAACCATAGGTTAATTTCACCTGTTTTTGTACTTTATATAAATGGAATTACATGGTGTGTATTCTTTTGTGTCTGGCTTCCTTTGCTCAACATTGTGTTTGTGTGATTCATTAATGTTGTGTGTAGTTGTTGAATGTTTATTTTCATTGTCGTGTGTACTCCATTTTGTGATACCGAAATATTTATTTACCCACTTCACTGTTAATAGGCATTTGAGTAGTTTCCAGTTTGGGGCTAATATAAAGAGTGTGCTATAAACATTCTAGTATTTATGTCTTTTGGTGAACATATGTATGCATTCCTGTTGGGTGTATACCCAGGAATGGGATTACTGCGTCATAATGTTTGGCTTTAGTAAATACTGACAAATGCTTTTCCAGAATAATTGTACTAATTTATATTCCCACTAGAAGTGTCTGAAATTTAATTGGTTCTTAATTTTATCTGGGTTAATTTATCAGTTTTTTCTTTATGTTTAGCACTTTTCATCCCATGTAATAAATCTATGCCTATTGCAAGGTTATAATATTCTCCTACTATGTTCTAAAGTTTCATTGTTTTACCTATCACATTTAGCTCTGCAAACCATCTAGACTAATTTTTGTGCTGTAAAGTAGGGGTACACATGAATATCCAACTGACTCAGTACCAATTTATTAAAAAGACCTTCTTTCCCCCACCCTTGTCATAAATCAGATGATGGATGATCAATGTTTGTGTCTGAATCTGGATCCTGTTCTGTTCCATTGTTCAGTTTACCTATTATTTCACCAATACCTACCACATTTTCTTAATTACTATAATTTTATAAGAGATTTTTATGTTCAGTAATAGAAGTATTCTAGCTGATGTACATTTTTTTACTTATTTAATGTTATAAAATTAATGTTAATGAATACGTCTACCCTCCTCCAAGATAGTCCTTAGGGTACTTTAACTTAAACTTAGTTTAATGTAATTAACACTTAAAATGTTATATTTTAACTTAGGATATTTTAACTCCATCCCCTTCTGACCTATGTGCTATTTTTCTTGGGTATTTTAATTATATCTTTTAAAACCTCACAAATAAAAAATTTTTAGTCTGTAAATGCTCATTTAGATTTAGTTATATATTCTGGTTTCTTTGTTTTTCTTTCCTTTTTGTATCTTTGTGCTTTCATCTGGAATCATATTCTTTCTACCTGAAATTCAACCTTGAGAATTTCCTTTAGTATAATCTTCTGCTGGCAAACTTAGTTTTTATTTGTCTGAAAATGTCTTTATGTCACTTCTATTCTTGAAGGATTTTTTTTTTTGTTTACTCTGCACTGAATAACTGATTGTCAATTATTTTCTCACAAAACATTGAAGATTTCATTGCATAATCTTCTGGCTTCCATCATTGCTTTATTGCTGAGATAAATTTGCTGTTATAATGCCACTTGTATTAGTCACCAAATTTTGCCACTGCATTAGTTAGCAATTGCTGCATAACAACTCTAAAACTTATTGGCTTAAAAAATAAACATTTTTTAATCTCACAATTTTCATGGATCAGTAACTCAGAAGCTGCTTAGATGGGAAGTTCTGGCTCAGGATGCAGTCAATATGAAGTTGCCATCAAGACGTCAGCTGATGTTAGAGTCATCTGAAAGCGTGATTGAGGATAGAGAATACACTTCCAAGATGGCTCACTCATGTGGCTGGCAAGCTGATGCTGGTTATTCAGCTGGCTTTCCTCAGAGCAAGCAAAGAGTATGCAAGGTAGAAGTGGTAATGTCTTTTATGACTTACCTTCTGAAATCACACACAATCACTTCCCCATATTCTATTCTTTAGAAGTGAGTCTGCCTCACATTCAAGGGAAGAGAAATTGATCTCTACATATTAGAGGGAGGAATGGATGTATTTTAAAACCACCACAGCTACTTTTAAGATTTTCTCTTTGTCTTCGGTTTTTTGAAGTTTAACTATAATGTGTCTAAGTGTGGATTTCTTTTCATTTATCCCATTAGGTAGTTATTTGAGTTCTAATATCTGTGATCTGGTTGGTTTCAAAAGTACTGAAAAAAATTCAGCCATTATCTCTTCAAATACTGTTTCTGCTCTAGTTTTTTAAACTTATGCTAGACCCCTTCTCACTGAATCATGTATGTCTCTTATCCTCTCTTCTGTATATTCTACCTTTTTGTTTCTCAATGCTCTATTCTGGATAATCTCTTCTGACCTACTTTCTATTTCATTTATTCTCTATTCAGCTATGTCTACATATCCACTGAGTTCTTAATTTTGTTATGGTATTTCTCATAGAATTTCTATTTAGTTCTTTTTTTATACCTGCTCTATCCCTTTTTATAGTTTCCAGATACCTGCCCAAACTGTCTGTTATCATTTATTTCTTTGAACAAAGAAAATAGAAATTATTTTATAGTTTGCATCTGATAATTCCAAAACAAGTTATTTTTGCACGTCTTTTTCCGTTTATGTTTCTGATGAAACATTCACCAAAAATAGTCTAGTTTCCTGTGTACCTGTTTATCTTTAATTCTGTACTTAAAATTTCTATGATAACTTTTGTGTAGGAACAATTTAAGGCCTAAAAATATAATGCTTTCCTCCAGTGAGGATTTGTATTCGCTTTTGCCAGTTATCTATCTGGTGACATTACAGTTAGAGACCACCTGAAACCAAGACTAAGACTTAAGACAGACAATTTGACCCCAGCCTGTAAATTCCTCTCAAGCTATTCCACTACCAATTCATCCTCATCCTGAAGGTGTAGCCCTTTGGAGTCCCAGTTATTATACAGAGGGTCTTCTATTTTACTCCTTACACATTGTGTTTTATTTATTTTTTTCTCCTTTGAAGTACAAAAGGAAGATCATCATTTTCCAGCTAGCTAAATGCCTCAGGGCAAAAGCATCTTCCAGTGTTCCAAGTTGGATTACCTCCTTGGATCCTGGCTTTCCAGCTTATGGCCTGGTAATTCTATCTTGCCATCTCTTAGACACCTTGTTATGGGCTGAATTGTGTGTCCCAAAATTCATATGTCAAAACCCTAACCCCCAGTACTGTATATTTAATCACATATTTCAGTGATTAAACTTAATCACTTTAAAGAGATAATTGAGTTAAAATGAAGCGTTAGGTTGTGCTCTAAACCCAACTGACTGGTGTCCTTATAAGAAAAGGAAATTTGTGCACACAGACACCAGGGGCACGCAAGTACAAGAAGGAAAGACCATGTGAGAACACAGGGAGGAGAGACCAGGTGAGGATACACAGAGAAGACCAAATGAAGACACAGTCATTTGCAAGCCAAAGAGAAAGGTCTCAGAAGAAATCAACTCCGCTGAGACCTGGATCCTGGATTTTTAGCCTCCACAACTGTGAGAAAATACAGTTCTGTCATTTAAGCCACCCAGTTGGTGTTATTTTATGACAGCCCTAGCAAATTAACACACACCTCTAAGAACATTAATATATATATGTATGTATGTATATAAGCATTATATATATAAGCATTATATATATAAGCATATTTTATATATAAACATTTATCTATCTATCTATCTATCTATCTAGCTATGTTCCAGACTTATTTTTTATTATTGCTTTCTGAGGGGAGTTGTTATAAATATCCTAGCCCACTATTAACAGAAAGAGGAACTCCAGTTATCCTCTGTCCCCCACTCTACACACTGCTTTCCTTTTCCTCATAACCCTTATCACCTGGGATATTATTTTTTATTATTATTATTTTTTTTGTCTATTTAGTCTCATTGGATATAAGATGCAAGAAAGCAGGGACTGCATTTTGATAACTGCTGTATCCTCCGACCTTGTAACAATGCATGGCAGACCTAGGCACTAAGAAGACAGTTGAATGAATGAATGAATGACAGAGAAGGGGCTTCCCCACTGGAAGAGCTCCCAGTCGCGTAGTCTCTGGGGACCACTGTCAGAAAAAGTAAGGCGGTCTGCTTGGGTGGCCACCGCCCCTGGGTCTGGGCAGCCCTCGTGGGCGCGCTCCGCCGGATCCGGGTTTCCGGGTTTTCGGGCGCTCCCCGGCA